ATGAATGTGCTGGGATCTGTCCATAAGTTCAGTGCCTCAGTGTAAAGAACAAATCAAGGTCAGAATGCAGCTGAATACACACTGATGTTTCATAATATAATCTAGATGTCCAGCTTTTATCTGACTCATTAAAAGCTCATGTGGGTTAAAGATTATTTTGATTGCTGTGAGATTTTTAGTGGGAATTCTTTGTGAGGGATATTTCATTACTGTGTTCAGTACTTTCTTTTTGTGTTCATTGCCTCTTTTCTCTGTAGGAATGGCCACCCTAGCAATTTCTTCAGTGTAAGCAGGATGGTACCTTGCTAAAGGTTGGTGCTTATGATGTTATATAATGTCATAAGCCACTTAATATATATATAACTTTTGAAAGCTCTTTTTCTACCTCTGCCCTTGTCATAAAAATGGGCTATCAGCTTTTCACAACAGTTTGTCAACAACCTCTTTAGGCATGAAAAACCTGCTGGACCAGGACATTTGTCTAGGGGTAGTTTGTCCAGTAACTGAAACAGATCCGTTTGCTAGTCTGTGTTCCTGTTCTCCTGTTTTCCACTTCAGTTCAACAGGCAACTGTGAACTTAGGAACACCGAGGATAAGACAAACCTCAAGTGGGGCCGTGTTTCTAACACATGCTAAAGTTCTTACGTGTAACAGTGGCTACAGAGTGATTCACATGCTGGTAAACTGAAGGACAGGGATAATTACATAAAAAGTGTTCAAACAACCAAGGATCTCGAATGTGATCCTTATGGTTAACTTTTGCTGTTGTAATCATGTTTTTTAAATGACTCAGTATGGAGAAGGCTGGCTCAAGAGCTGGCTTGTAGAGGCTCTTTTTTGTATTTGGGCTCCTTTCTGTGTGACCAGCAATGTCAATCAAAAACCTTTAAAAAAGACACAAGATAAACAAGGATTTCTGTCGTTGACCTTCCAATGTTGTTGTTAGAAGAGAGAGTGATAAATCAAGCTGCATGTGTAAAGTATGTATGCAAGTTATGTTTTGAGTAAATATTTCCAGGCTGCTAAGTGTTATGTTACATCTTTCCGTTTGATGGGAAGGTTGCTACTGTTACTTTTCTTACTATTGTAATGATAATTTTTAAACATTTCTGTTTAACATTTCTGTGGGTCTGTGTTTTTCCAGCAGAGTTCACAGAGCTCCTCAGAACAGACTCATTCTGTGTTCTGCCTTCTTTCCTCATCTTGGTTATTATCGTGCTCCATAAATGACACAAATGATTTCAATTAACAGTTGTCAGCCAGCTGATGGTGTATGTTTGTCACAAGTCCTGTGACACTGACCATTCCTTCCTACTTTGCTGGATGCAAAAATTTTGCTTTTGCTGACCGCACCCTGTGTAACCATCTTTGAACCTAGTTCTTCCAGGCTAGCGAAGGAGAATCCTAGAAGCATGCCAGCACCCCTTGGCTGGTGAGTTTGCCACTCTTCAAGTGAGCCAGTACATCTTGCTGGATGTGCTGTCCCCTGCGAAAGAGCAGTCTTGAAATCACTCTTAGCACTGGACAAGCTTTTAGTGTAAAGTAAAAGAATACGATTCTACTAAAATACAAAGCTCAAGAAACCAGCTGTTGCTCTTTATGAAGATGCAGAATACTAGAGCATAGCTCACCACACAGTCACACTGCTTTGGCTAGTTTCTGTCTTCTGCTGACCTGGCTGTCATGATAGTCATGCTACCTCCCAGGACAATTCACATAGGTCCTAAATCTGTAATCTGGATTGTAGGATTTTTTATCCGTTTTATGGTTTACGGTTTATCTCTTCTATAGTTTAAGGTAAGAGCTTCTGCTTATATCCTGTTTTCTCGACTATGAATGCCAAAAATTAGCAACCTTAGTATTTGGCCTTACCCTTACCAAACTCTTTCATTTTTTATGAACAAAAAAATTCCTTGAGCTTTTTAAGCTGTAGTATACATTTAATATTTTACAACATATATGTTACATACCACATTTTACACAAAAAGGTGAAACAGTGAATGTACTTTTCACTACTTCTTGACAGCAACTATTTAGTGGCAAATAGTATGGAAGTACAGTGTATTTGGAGTAAGAGGTTCATAAACATGACTCAGTGTCTTAGGGTGAAAGAACAGGGCTATCATGGTTTTCTGTAGGCATTCATACAATAAAATAGTGCAGAATATAAAGAACATTCTGCCAGGGTAAAGTTCATGAAGCACTTCTGTTTTCTCCAGAGAAGTGCTCCTGTCTTAACTGCCACTGTAACAGGATTTTAGATATGTCTCTGCTCTAGTTCCCTCAGAGGTCCAGCCTAGCAGGTGTATTTGAAGCACATCTGCCCAAGGTGTACTGATAGAGAGTTTAACATGCATACATTGGCAGAGGGAAGGTGGTTATGGCTGTCATAACAATGACAGTGGTTTTCTTCACAACTGACCAGAATATGTCATTCTCTCAAAATCATGATCTGAAGTGATGAATATGTTGTTTTTTATATAACAATGTCATTCAGAAGGACCTCCCCTCATCCCCGTTCCTGCTCTCAGGACTGATGCTGTTGATGTGGGGGGTTAATTTTGATGATATTGTGCATAAGCTCCTCAAGGGTCATACCCAGAAAGCAAAGGAAGTTCAGGAGTAAACAGGAAAAACTCAGACTTTGCCACAACCTGGTTTTGTGAGAAGGAATATACGCTTAGGAGAAGTGGGGGACAGGGGGAGAGGCAGGCAGAATTGAATGGGCTGATAAATTCGGAAGCTAGAAGTGGTGGGTGATGAGTGTAGCAGTTTCTGTTGTGAACAGGATGAGTATCATCAGCTAAGCATCACAACTTTGAAACTGATTAGGAAGGCCAAAAGCTCAGGAATAAGTGATAGATCTCTCACTTATGGAGAAGTTAAGCTTAAAAAGAAATAATCTGTTTGTTTTGTGGCGATGATTTCCCTTTTGTGCTTAGCATAGAGAGATTTAATTTCAGAAGCATGATGCTAAATGTCCATTAGTGCATCTATAATAAACATTCGTCTGTTTATTCCTTAAGCAGCATGTTTCCTAGAGCTATCCCTCTTGTTTCTTATTCCACAGTTTCTCATGTCAATCAAGTTATCAGTAACAATAATCACAAATCCCATTAGGAACTAATTACATATATGCAACTCCGAGCTAGTTTACCTCTTTGCTAACATTATCTCCAAGATTTTTAACTGCAGTCAGTCCAGCTTGCTTCTGGCTCCATTAATTATGGTTACACATCTTTACAAAGAACTAGAACTCATCTTGATGATGATCTACTGCTTCAGAAATAAGAAAGACCTATAAAATGGAGTAGTATAGTTAGCTTACTTTCTCTGTCTTCAGGTGCATTGAAGTCTGTCCACCACCCACTCTAAGAGCACCACCATTCTCATTTTGTATCTGCTCAGTTCCTGAGTGACACAGTGAGCTCCCCAAGTGATCTTGTTTTTCTTGCTTATCTGCTGTAACTGGAGTTGGGAAGAGAGCCTAGCTGATAAAATGTGGGCAAAGATGACATGAGACAGACTGGAGAGTGGGTCATCATGAGGACATGGGATAGATACTCTTGAAAGCTGGTACATGAACTCACTTCTTTCCTGAGAACATGAAGGGAACAGGGTGTAATTCTGTGAAAAATTGGTGTGAAAAACAATGGCATGCATGGATGTGGTGCAACTTGCAAAGAAACTATGGCTTTGGACCGTACCGAAAAGAACAATCTGTTGCAAATATTTTAGCAAAGTAGTTTTTATATGCTGTTAAAACTGAGATCAACATTTATATCAACGTGTATGTATTGGTTCATTCCCATAATAGTCTGTGTAATTTTGTTTACTATATGCATGCATGTCTTCCCCAGACAGTGATGGAAATTAGGGGAACATTTGCAACCAACAAGGAGAAAAAATAGTGTATGAAGATCTATCATACTGTAGCCTGTGTTAAAGTGAAACTTGTGGAATCCAACTTGCTGACTTTAAGTGTTTAATGAAAACAGAGTCATTACCTCCTCTCTAGGCAGGTAGAGAGCTCCTTTGGGATTTAAACACATGCATTGGGAGAAGAATAGACCTGTGTGTTTCTGGAAAGTTCACACCCACATGGTTACACTTTGTTTCTGCAGTCTGGATACTTAAGAAAAAATGCTGTTCTGAAAAAGAAAATGAAAGCAAATCCTAAAGCTTGATGTTTCCAGTACTCATGTTTTAAAAAGCAGCTTTCACATGCTTGTGTCTGTATTGCACTTTACTTGTAAAGCTATTAATTTAAAAATCCTTCCTGAAACCCCGCTAAACTCCCTCCCTTGCAGGGAGCCGTCTTTTGTGACTGTAAAACAGTGGGGAAAAATTCTAGCTGATTGATTTATAAACACCTGAAAAAAACATAGTTCATATGGAAAGTGGTGAAACATCCTTAAGCAAAGTGAGGTCACCGAGTGCCACTTCAATTTAATAAAATAAGTCATTCTGAAATGGCTTAAGATGGATAGAAGACAAGGCAGCTCTAAACGAGAGAGAAAAGAGTGGGGATGAGAACTATGAAACTAAAAGATGCTGCTTCTCCATTAGTTCTTCCCAATTGCCCATGGCCAGTAGAAATGTTCTTTGAAGCAAAATGCCCTGGGTTGTTGATTTTATGGAGACATCTTTCTGTCTTACAAATCAGCAAAGCAGCACCTTCCTTTTGTTTTTTGCTTAAAGTCAGTTACTTCATTGTTCATGTCTTTTATAGCCACAGGAATCCATAAAAAGTAGGTATAGCTTGTCTAGTTTTCTTTCATGTGTCTTCATGCCTTCCTTCATCCAGTAAGTATGCTTGCACATGCATTGGGAGAGACTGTGAGTTGCTGTTTTTTATAAGGTTGACTTTTATGTCATTATAATGTGATGAGTATATCATGTTTTTCTGCCTTTTAACTTAATTTGGAAAAAAGTCGTTTTGGCCTCATCATGTATCTTCTGCAAAAACAATTTAATACTAACTTCTTTGATTTTGTAGAGCTGGTTATTTGCCTCAGAATATTCCTCTGGAGATTATCAGATACCTTTCAGAGGAGAAGGATTTTCTACCTTGGCATGCTGCCAGCCGAGCTCTTTATCCTCTAGATAAATTGCTGGACCGCACAGAAAACTACAACGTCTTCAATGTAAGAGATACAGTCTTCCTTCCTTCCTTCCTTCCTTCCTTCCTTCCTTCCTTCCTTCCTTCCTTCCTCTCTGTCTCTCTTTTTCTTTCTTTCCTTTATTTCTTTCTCTCCCTCTGTCTCCTTTCATTGCCAAGAGCTGAACTATTTCCCAGTAAGATACTATAAATGACCTAGGGATATTAGCTTTCTTCCTAATTATTCTTTATTTAAACATAGCAATTGTCAAGCTTTGGTTCATTTGCATTTAAACAGTGACAACTGTTGTTTGAGGCATATATGATTAGTAGAAGGAAAGGTAATTATCCCTCCTATAAAATATTATGACAAATAAAGTATTTCACTGAAAAGAGCCAAAGTAATCTATTTCCAGATTTTATTTTTTAGGACCCCCACGGCGATATTTAGATTGATGCCTAAGGTCCGCAAGGACACCAAATGCAGGCAGAAATGAACAGAGTGCGTGCAACTGGAGTTAAGATTTGTAGTCATTATTTCATCCAAAAAGCTGTGGTGAATTCAATGCAGTTACCTTAATTAACAAGGATTAGATCACCGTTGAATCAAAAGCCCATTCATAATTGGGTCCAAAGGGACAGCAGTAGCAGCTAGCAGTAGATAATTAAGATAGACATGACAAACATTTTAACTTTTTACCTGAAGTAAAAAAAAAATTCTACCTGCGATGAAGCATGTTTGATGAAGTACACAGGATTTGATTGCAGACAGTGACAGTTACGAACTCTTGGGGTTTTTTTATTCACTATGAATTTTATATATTCTACATATTTTTGATGGCCAATATACTGTAATTTCGTGTAATTTAATAAAGCTTTCAGATGAAGAAACTCTTTAAAGCATGAAATGCTTAAAGGTGCTTTCTTCTTAAACCTGTGTATGCTTGTGTGTGTTATGTCCAGAGACACACACGCTCAGAAAGCAGTAAGCTAGAGGTGGCTGGATGTGTGTATGTATATGGAAGTCCATACATACATATGTATACACACACACATACACAAAGCTATCTGGTGACATGGAAATTTATTTTTATAGAACACATACTACAGATTAGTTAGGCCACAGTGAGATTCTTCCTTTATGAACCTACAGTGTGAGCCTACATGCAAACCAGAGCCGTAATACAAAATGATTTGGAAATAACTTGCATGTTTAGTCTGTTGTTCACTGCACGGAAAAATTCTGATGAGTCTGCCATTGCTATTTCACTTTTAAACATGGCTGTGTAAAGAAAGCTCCATTTTAATAAATAAAACCAGTAAAATTCATGGCTGGGTTGTGTTTTATCGCTACTGATGAGAGCTTTGAAAGCAGAGGTGATAGCAGAGGAAATAAAAAGTCTTTTTAGTCACAGAATAATGTATCTGCTAGAGAAAGCTGTGCTATGAATCTCCTTTTGTGTTGACATCATAGATACATGCCTGTGCATCCCCAATAATAAAATAGATGCTTTTGTATGCGGTTCTTTATATCTCAGTTCTATTTTTCGAATTGGTAAATTCCATCGGCAGAAGATTATGCTAAATACAATGACAGTGGTTTTCTTCACAACTGACCAGAATATGTAAATATGTCTCCTATGTAAAAAAGTAAAAGTGAGCTCAAATATGTGTTGGGCTGGTTTTGTTCTTTAAGCACACCAGAACTTAAAACATAGTGTCCATAAATCTACAAAACTCATTGCAGTCACATTGTTGGGTATTCTGAAGTCAATTGATTGTACTTATGTGACATTTCTGCCATGGCTTTGGATATTAAAACAATATTCTTTTAAAAGTGAACATGCACAGTGTAGCTGAGATTGGCCATAGAGCAGAAATTAAGCTGTTGGCCTCTTGCGACTTTTCATCAGTATATTGTGAGTTCAAAATGGCATGCAAGAAACTCTTCTTAAATGGATGAGGTGTGTAGCAGTAGATTATTTTATCCTAGGCATCAGATCAAATAGCTGTTCTATAGATTGCGTCTCACTATAGCAGTGAAAGAGGATTATGTGTGCCCATGTTGCCTTGCTAAATGCAAATCAAAATCTTTGGAAAGCAGGACGTTATTTGGGGGTAAAAAAGAGAGACAAAAACTCAATAGTCAATATTATGTAGATTTCAAATAAAAAATAAGTGCTAACACTGAATATATTTTTCTTTCCCCCCTCAGGAATATATTTTAAGACAAGTTGCATCGATGTATCTCAAGCTTGGATGGCCAACGAATAATTTAAACAAATCACTTGTTCAAGCATCCTACCAACATGAGTACTGTTATTTATTTTTTTACTATTGTTTGTTTGCAGGATATAGTTGTAATAATGCACTCTTCTAAAATTTGGTTTCATCTTTAGCATGTCCTACTTTCCTAGCTTTGTGTCTTCCTTCTGTTTTTCTTTTCCGCGTTAGAGGGAGAGGAAAAAGATGCTGTGAGGTGAATTCCTATTTCCTGAGTTTGGAGAACATGATTTTCTAAGCCTTAATTTAAAATTTGACTGCACTGGATATTTAAAAACTTTGACTCATGTGACCACAGAGGTCAGGAAGAGTGTGGAAGTGTAAATGGGGGCTGGTTTTGGTCTATGACCTTTCTTTAGCTGTTGCAGCAGCTACAGGCATTAAATTGACACTCAAATTTGTATAGCTGGATTATCTTTGATATGTTGCCCTACTATCAGTTGCTGCCACTGTTATAAGAAATAGCTTTTTGTAAGCATTCCAGCACGTTCATTAATGCAGCCTTACTGCTTTCTTAAATTTGGACAGAGAGTTGCGTCGGGAAGTCATCATGCTGGCCTGCAGCTTTGGTAACAAACACTGTCACCAGCAGGCTGCAACGTTAATCTCGGATTGGATTTCTAGCAATAGGAATCGGTAAGTGGAACCAAAATGTGTATTTGCTGTTTCTCCTACTCAGAGACAATGCAGCTGGCATGCTCCTCTCCTGGCCGCCCCCATCCACAGTGCCCCGTTCTGCAGAGGGCCATGGGAGGAAGGAGAGGTCGCTGGCGGTTATTTAAAAATGTCTGTGGGGCTTCAGAATGAATTATTTGACTTTGCATGTATGAGCGGGTGGAGGGGACACCCATGTAGGCTCTGCCCACTCCTGATAAATTGCTGTCAGATAATGATATGCTAGAAGGTGAGAAGATAGGTTTTAAGAAGGAATTTAAAGGAAGAAAGATGAGTGAATACCACATTGGCAGACAAACACGGAACCTGTGCCGGGCAAGAGAGCAGAAGGTGCTAAGTGATTAAAGAAGTAAGAGAAGTTACAGGCAGAAGGACTGAGAAGTAAGAAAGGAGATGAAGCCATGTATTTGAGGGCAATGTTATGAAGTCCTTAAGGGTGAAGACTTGGAAACTAGTGTGAGCCAGGAATACATGGAAAAGCTCATGTAAGGTTGCAGAGAGGGGATAATGTGATAGCTGATGTGTTGAGCATTAGCAGCACTGTAGTGGTTTGACAGCGAATATGTAAGTTAGGCTGTCCAGACACAGGTTTGTTCAGCTGAGGCAAGGGAACATGGACTGTGGATGGTGCATGAAGTTTATCTTTTAAAGGCAAGTATCTAAGAAACGTTAAATTACTGAAAATACAAAGATTTAAGTGTGCAGTGATCTATGGACAACGAGATCAGTACAGAGTATAGGTTAAGACCACGACTTTTTGAGAAAGGATGATGGATTTTCTGATTATGTGGAGTGTGGATGTAGAAGTATTTGCATAAGTACATCACATGATCTTTTGGTTTAAAGGAAAATATTTTACTTTCAAGTAACAAAGAAAAAGGGAAGAGAAGTCTTACGTTTTTAGTCCCATTTTTAGTATTAGCTCTGCAAAGGGATCAGATCTCACATGTAGGCATGTAGGACTTTTTAAAGACATCTTGGGCCAATCAGGTGTTTGCAATTAAAATGCGTCTGTCTGTCTGTCTTTGTAATCTTTAGAAATCCTTTACAGGCATACCCAGTTACATAAGTACCTGAGTGTCTTTTAAAACCAGCCATGAACTGAGCATTAATGGAAATTGCATTCCTATATGACTTTGAAACTTCTGAAAATAAATTATCTTGAAACTATGACTACATACCTTTGAATAAAATGTATGTGAGAGGGAGGGTTTTCTTGTGTAAGATGACACCAGATATATTTACTATGAAATCTATACCCCAGGGTTTTATGTGAATTCTTGTGAGCAGCAACAATCAGTATGAAACTATTCAAGAAGGAGATTAAATAGAAAGAATCATTGAAAACAATCTGCAAAAGTAATTTACGTAGATATTCATTTGCAAAATTAGTTAATCAAACCTAGCAGCATCTATTAGCATGCACAGCAGTGGATTAGTCAGTGTTAAAAAGCTGTCACCCCGCAAAGCTTTCTTCTACCCTGTGTCTTCATCGTTTCCAATTGGATTGAAGAAGGAAGCATCAGAAAAGAAAAAAAAAAAAGCTTATTGCTTTACTAATGATAGCAAGATGGGAAAGAAATAAATTTAAGGAGCCATCTGAAGATTCATCTTAGCCTTTCTATGGGGCCATTCTTGGGAGCACAAGACTGGCTGCCAGCATATGACAAGTAGTATGATAAAAGCATCACAGCAGGGCAGAGGAAGAGAATAGCTACTAAGTTAAAGCAGTGCATTTCTCCAAAGGAACTGCACAGTTTTGAAAAATAACTTCAACATATAATGTAATTACAGAATACACGTTGACAGTCAGCTTATAAATAGGGGTACAACTTGCGAAGAAGACAGATAAATGTTTTTATTTATTTCTTAAGATTATAGGATTCCTTCAGTTCCGCACCCCAGAATTTCCCAGTTGCTATTTTCACATCAGTCTCACATACTGAACGTACCTAACATATGAGCAAACTCATTTAATTGAAAAGGCATTGCAAACACTACTAGTAATAGCAGCTCAGTAGACATAAAATCAGCTTGTGTTTCACAGTGGCAACACATTTGTAGGGGTCTGTCATTGTTCTCTCAGGAATGTTCAGATGCCTGCTGCAACAGAGGTACCCCATATCTCCTTTGCTCTGTTTCAACCAATTCACACTGAAAACCGAAAATAAAGCAGAGTTTGTTTTCCCTGCTTTTCCACCAAGAAAATGATGATGATTCTACAATAAGAATTTAATTATCGTGGTGTCTGAGTCATGCCTCTGCCTCTTTTAACACTTCAGAGACAATAGCGAGTTCAAGTGCAAAGGGCAAGCAGGTGAGTACAAGATACATGCAGAGAACACATCCAACAGGTGCCATTTTGTGTTCTTTCGCATCAGTCAGGTGTTGTGCTCAGTTTAATGCTCTTAAACAACTGTGTGCCAATTTGCTGCGAACAGCCACCTCAGAATCTGTAGGAATCCCTCAGAGCTTGTTTCCTCACAAAGAAGGGGAAACTCCTGCTGCTCATCTTTCTCCAGACTTCTCTGACAGCTCCTGGTGAGGAAAGCTGGTGACAGGTACAGAAACTGTATGTATGCTTATCAACGAGTGAAATTTGATCTGCTGAAAACTACTCTAAAAGTTCTTGTAGATGCCCTTCCCTCTTCTGGAACAGGGCAAAGACATTGACTGATGTCAGGCAGAAAGCCTGGTCTTGATGGGTTTGCATAGCCAGAGCACGAAGACAAAGTTCCAGAGAGCTCAGAGAGATTTTTATATACAGGTATAATAGGAGTTTGACTAGGAGAGTAAAAATAAAGGCTAATTTGCAACCTTTCCGCCCATCCCCTCCAAAAAACCTTATTCTGGGAGAAGAGATGTTTCATACAATGAGCTAATTCACAGTCAGTGCATATTGGAAGGAACACAGATTTTTCAAGGCAGTAAACTCCTAAATGAGACTAGGGAATTAGACTTATGTCCCAAGATTCTAATCAATACAAAATCAGGGTAATATTAAATTACACATAAATGCACAGGCAGTAAATCATGTAAAGGAGGTTTTTGATTCCCTGGCAGTTACTGCAGTTCGAATAACCGTAACAGAGAATGTGCAATTAATAATACGGTACAAATGATAAAATTCATAACTTTTTAACTGTGTTTTTAATCTATGGCTTTTTAGAAGTTCTTTTGAAATGTTTTTTCTCTTTTACTTGTAGCATTTAATGATGGATAAAGTGTTGCGTAATAAACAGATGCAGTAACATCTAACTCTGTTTTACCAGCATATGTCTAAGGTTGCTGTGGTTTCTAGTAATTATATTTAGTCTGGTGGGTCCAGAAATTAATTACCATCTACTCTTCACTGTAGGGGATTGAAATGATCATAATAATCAGTTACTGTTTGTACTTTGTAATTATATGTTCTTTGCTGTCAAATAATTTGCCACTGTTCACAAAGTAAAATAATGGTCATTCATAGCACAAAGCCAGAGGTCCTTTTTGTGTTTCCAGCACTACTTGAAAAAAGCCATTAGATTTCCAACTGTAGCACTGCAGATTTTCTTATTGAATTAGTAAAAAAACACCATACATGTGATCTGCAACATTAGCCTCCATGCATGAAAGTGAAAGTCAAATGAGAGGCTTGAAGTCTTGAATCTCTAAAGTGACTTTGGTGTTGCAGTGCTTCATCTTTAGATGTTGGGCTCACAAGGCAGAAGCAGATGCTTGGAGTTACGCTTCCCACAAGGGGGTTGGACTAGATGACCCACAGAGGTCCCTTCCAACCCCGAACATTCTGTGTGATTCTGTGATTTGGGAACCTCTAAATGAAGTTAGTGGCACTCACTATATTGAGTGAAGAGGCTCTTAAACTGAGACTGTGAAGAGAGAGTGGGCCCTCTTAGGGTCCATCACTACAGGGAGAAAGATATCTGTATCAAATTAATATGTAAATAGAGATCATAAAGTTAGGGGCCCTTGCAAAAGATGCCTTTCAAAAGTGTCACTGAAGCAGGGAAAGATCTGCTCCTTTTCTTCTCAAACATGGCTGGCGGAGAAGCTGCTCCTCAACCCCCTTTTAAACAGTAGTTCTGAGATTGTGGTAGAGCTTCAGTTTAGTACCTCAGCCCTGCATCTGTCACATGCAGAAGACCACCCTGATGACCAGTCTGTGAGGTGTATGGAACCGGATTAAGACACTGCAACACACTTTCCTCCTCTAGTTTAAGCTCAACTGCTGGGATTTACTTCATTAGCAAGAGAAATAGTACAGCTCTCCAGCCTAAACATGAGAGCATTCATCTGAGAGAGGGAGGCTTGAGTATCTGAAATATCAGGATTACTTAGTATGCAAAGGAGTTTAGGTGGTATTGCTCACTACCACATTTGCAGGACAAAACATGATGCTAAAACAAGGAACATAACTCTAAAAAAGAAGTTTGGCTCTACAAGGAGCAAACCAAATACATAACATCACATGTAGAAGAGGTTATAAGGAAACATCTGCTTGTACTGGTCTAGGAATTAATTTTAATTATTTAAATTAAATTAATTTAGTTATTTAAATCCTAGCAATTGTTAAAAAAAGAAGTGATTATTTCTTTCAGCTGAAAGTCTGAGATTAGACTTCAAGGTATGTCTTATCATCTTTTTAATCAATGAATTTAAGTATTTTGCTCTGTTTAAATGGCTGGTGGCTCCAGCACATTTTGCTTGAAAGTCTGCATAGAATTCTGACTGGACAGTTGATGTGAAGGCAAACATTTTCGTTGTTAAGTTGGGATATATGCTACTCCTGTATTGGAGCAATGGAAACCCTTGAAACTTCCATGTTGACGTTCAGAAGAATGCAAACCTAGTAGACAACATATAAGCACATTGAAATTTCATTCGTAGTTTGAGAATGTAAAGTTACTGGGATTCAGTCAACAGCAGAATGCTGTACAAGAGAAGCTACTGTTGGCTGAAAA